TAGCTGGATAATATCGAAAAAAAAATTTATATTCTAATATGTTTCTGGAACATCAATAGCAATAGCAATAAACTGTATACGTTGCACACCAGACCCAATATATTCGTCATATCCCCGAAGTTTACTTCTTTTTTTTATATTATTACTGTTAACTTTAAGTTCATCTGCATCAAAGATGTTAACACATATTTTCAATGAACCTCCTCCATCCACCTCCATCAATTGAAACTCGTACAATGGTATTATAAAGATTTAACCCTCTCTCACTTGTTTATAACAAAATCTGAAGAATCTTTTACAAAAACCAGGTTCCTATCAACCTTTTTATCCCCAACTTCAAATTGCATGGGCTGAACACTGTAATAATTTTTCACATTTAATTCAAGATCTGACAGTAACTTCGTCACTTCAAACTGGACAACTCTCTTTCCTGTTGCCTTGTTAAGAGTAGAAATCAGCTTTCTAGTTCCTCTGTTTGAAAGATCAAGATTTAGTTGAAGTTGCTTGAATGTTTCAAAAGAGATTTGCTGAATTTGATTTCTGTCTCCTTTGTTCTTAGGACGACCAACTCTTATTATTTGCGGTTTTCCGCAGGTGGCTAAATACAATAGATCACCTGAATTTACTTTTTCTTTGTTCATTTTTTCCTTGATTATTGAAGAAGCTACCTGCTCTGTACTGTGCATACCTTGTTCTTATGCCAATGATGTAAGGTTTTTTACAGCAGTTGATTTGCAGCATTTGTGCTCTAAGCCACGACCTAAATAAATATTGTATAATACTACATGATATTGATATAATACTATACCAATATCATGTAGTATTTTAAAATCTTCTGTTGGTATTACCTATTATTGACAGATCAGATCTTTAATGTGTTTTTTAGAGAAGTAGAAGAGCTCTCATCTCAATAATGTCAGACTTGCGCTTCTTAGAAATCCAATCAATCTAAATAATAATTATTCAGAATTGACATTAGAGCTTTTTATGACAGAATTGACATTTTTATAATTTAGCAGATATTTTAAAATTCTATTTTAACAGATGCAATTAACTTAAACCTAACCTTTTCTATCTTCTGTGTCCATCAGTTAGTGGTTTCTTTCTTTTTGCAAGCATGTACAAATTAGTTTTGCAATTTCCACATATAGAAAAAGGATAGACTGTAATTTCTTTCATGTATTCAGAGTATACATACGTCTGCACCAGTTTTTCAATAGTATCTTGGACTGCAATAAGACTCTTTTTAGTTTTTGTTTTCCAGCAAACACAACAATAACTATTTATATTCGTTTTTTATTTGCTAAAATTATAACAATGCCATGAGTATTATAATACAATTTTTTTAAGATTTAGAAAATTTATTTAACCTATCTTTAAATTATTGGCGCATTTCGCGCCAACAACTAAACAAAAAGTTTAAATATATTTCTATACTTTATGCTAGATTTATATTTTATATAAAAAATTTGACAAGTGGAGGGTCAAGGCCCCTCTGCCCTCTTATTATGAATATTTTCAATAGGATTTTGAACCCCTCCCCCCAGTCTTAAAATGCACTCTTGGATTTTTAAAATTTTTAATTTTTAATAATCTAATAAATATCTCTTTGATGGCATATTTTTTTTTTAAGTTGGATAAAGTTCAAGCTGAGGGTCGATTTATGATACTGTGCTAAAGAAACTAAATTTATAAATTTCATAAATTGTCTTGTTAAATTTAACAAGCATAGTGTTTTCCCATAACTATCGAAAATTGGTTAAACAAGCAATCAATATAAAACAGCCATTGCAGCATAATCTTTTTTTAATTAAATTTTTAATACATCTAGACACTAGCGTAGGAAGGTCTATAAAGTTTTGGAGAAATTAAGGCATCATGGGTATATTTAAATTTATAAAAAATGGTATAAAAAATTATGCATTTGACATTTCTTAAAATTGCATAAAAAGTGTAAAAGATGTAAGTTTCATAATTACTATTGACAATTTTTCTTATCATAAGGACTGAAAAGGCATGTTTTTCTTCATGTTCCATGAAATTTAATTCACTAGCTAAAACATTAGTTATCAAAGCTGTTAATACTCTCGTTGTCATATCTTTATTGTTGGCACCACCAATGACACCAAGATAATTTACCTAAATAAATAAATTCACTTTGAACAACATTTAGAAATTTTATAAATATAAAATATATATATTTTTTTAATTTGTAAAACCATGTTTAATTAAATTTTTATTAAACAACGCCCCTTTATCTGGATTTCGGCCCCACCCGGATTTCGCTTTCCAAAAAAAAAAAAAACAACAGAAAAACCGAAATTAGGTACCTAAAGTCCAACATTAATTAGACTAATTGCTTATAATTATTTTTCGTTTAAATTTGGCAAGTTCATAGAAAATGCATAAAGCAAAATATTTTAATAATAAAAAAAACGGACTCTACATTTCTTCAACTACAAATCCATGTGACAACATTAACAAAATTTTCATGCAAAACTCTCAACAAATTAATCCATAAAAAAGTGTGGTAACAATACACAATAGTTTTATAAAAATCAAGCCTAACTTTTCTTCTTTTCAAAAGATGTCAAGGTTTATATATGTTTCTAAAAAGAACCACTTCAAAAACCCGTTTGCCTAGGGCTACTTGAAAAAAGTGGTATACTTGGTATAGCACTAATTAAACTAATTGCTTGTTATTTTTTTCATTGAAATTTGGCATGCGCATAGAAAATGCATGAAACAAACTATTTAAATAATAAAAAAAATGGACTCTACATTTCTTCGACCACATATTCATATGAGAACATCAACCTAGTATTCAGGAGCAAAATATCCCATAAAAAAGTTAGGTACTATACCAAAAAGTGTATAGTGCCCTACCGGCAAACCAAACCAAAAGCACGTGTATATTACGGGCAGTTTTACTAGAGTTTAACGCGTGCTTTTTGAGGTTTTAAAGTCAAATTTAAATATCCCATGTTTTTATCAGTGGTTTTATATTCCTTACGGAAAGTTATTACGATATAATACTACGTTTCCATAACGGTGAAACCATTAATACTTTATCTGGTATTTATGGTAAATAGTAATAGTTAATTTCACGGAATAAAACCCATTTTTGATACGTGTTATTCTTTTTGTTTTAGAAGGTTTTAAAAACGCAACAGAAACCAAGCGTAACTATTTTCTGAGTTGTGCAGGCTGGGTGTAAACCTATGTGTATATATGTTTCTAAAAAGAAACTCCGAAAAACTACGTCTGCCTCACGTCTGTAAAGTAAATTGTATAAAAAACATTTCAAGAAACTTACGTTTGTGTTGACTATTTTAACTAAAATAAATCCTTCGTCCACTTCTTCGCGTGATACAAACTGTTTCATTTCTCGTAAAACCACTTCTTCACGTGATACAAATTGTTTCAATGATATTAAACCACTTCTTCTCGTGATGCAAACTGTTTCAATATGATAATACTTTTATCACTAACTTTCATAACAAACAGTTTGTTTTCAAAAGTACGCGATATTTAAGCAAATTATCATAGCGTCGTTAAAAAAGAAAAAGACCTATAAAATTATAAATAACAGTTTTGTAAATCAAGTAAAAGATTTTTAACAAATGCAAGCAAAATTATTGAGCGTGGTTCACTTCCATATCTGGTACTTACAATGCTTAAACATAATAAAAAAATGTAATAAAAACAACGCAAAAAAAAACAACAACGTAAAAACGTAAACCTAATAAAAAAAATAGTTCGTTTCCATTTTTTATACTTATAACTTTAAACGTAAAAAAAAAAATTTTTTTAAAAAAGTAAAAAACCGCAAGAAAAAAAAAAAAAACTACAAAAAAGTATATGTAAACGTAAAAAAAACAATAAATTAAGTATTTTGATGAAAAGTTTGTCAATAATTTTTCTTTTTACAGTTTTGACTAAAAATGCAGACCATAAGTAGCTAACTATTTACTCTAGCCATAACCCAGCAAACAAAAAGATATCTAAAATGCATCTAATATGCATCTATAAACTGATCTAAAAGATGTCTAAATTCAGGTCTAGAACGGGACATAAATAGACGTCTATCTTATAGACGTCTTTTAGATGCATTTTATTCGACACAAATAATTGCCTTAGATGCATAAAAGATGTGAAATATACATCTTACAGATGCATATTAGATGTATAAAATACGTCTCTTAAATAGATGTCTAAGGCGCGTTTAAAAAAGATAGATAATAGATAATTTTTTAGTTAATAATAGCTCTTTTATGCATCTAATATACATCTAATATACATCTTTAAATGTATATTTCACATCTTTTATGCGTCTAAGGCATTTATTTGTGTCGAATAAAATGCATCTAAAAGACATCTATAAGATAGAAATCTATTTATGTCCCGTTCACGACGTGAATTTAGACGTCTTTTAGACCAGTTTTTAGATGCATATTAGATGCATTTTAGATATCTCTTTCTTTGCTGGGACTTGTTTGATACAAAGGCGTTACAGCGGTTAAATTAGTCATAAAAAAGGATTAAATTAAATAAGTAAAGAAACATTTTAACTAACATTAATTAATTTTTATTTCACAAAAATATACATAAGAAACTATATTTCTGCATTGCCGTCAACATTTTCTTCGACATCGCCGATATCTAAAATATATACATTAATGACATTTAAATGACTTTAAAAGACATGTAGAATTCTGAATCTATTTTTATGAAATATTTTATTTATATATATATATATATATATATATATATATATATATATATATATATATATATATATATATATATATATATATATATATATATATATATACACAGTCACGGACAAAATTGATAAAATCGAAACTCGAACAATAAAAACAAAATTATTTAATTCAGGATCTACGCAACTGCAATAACTTTATGTTTTTTTAAAAATTTGATTCCAAAGAAAAAAATATATATTTTTAACTCTTTATAATTCATTGCAAAAGTAACTCTATTAAACAAAACTAGCTATCTTACAACTTTTTTGTCCAAAATAAATGCGACATAAGTAAGAAACATCTTTTTTTATTATGAGTTTTTATTATGAAATATAATGTTTTGTCAGTAATATATATTAAAAATACAAGAATATCATGTCTGATTTTCATTTTAGTACTTTGTTGCACCACCTTTTGCTTTCACGACTGCTTCTAAACGTCTTGGCATGCTTTTTACAAGCTTTGACGTGACGTCAGTACCAATTGAATTCCAAGTTTCACTAAGAACCTCAAAAAATTCTTTTTTATTTGTTCGTTTTGAAGGAGGTATTTTAGATTTTAAAATTGCCCATAAATTTTCAATGGGGTAAAGGTCCGGGCTTTGTGGTGGCCATTTAAGGATGTTAACTTTACTTTTTTTGAGGAAATGTTGTGCCACTTTGCTGGTGTGTTTGGGGTCATTGTCTTGTTGAAAAAAGAACTTGCGATCTAAATTCAATTTTTTAGCGGATTGACATAAATGTTTGGAAAGCAAATCAACATACAATTGTCCTGTCATTATACCTTCAACATTCACCAGTCTTCCCACACCATTTGAAGCAAAGCATCCCCAAACCATAATTGAGCCACCTCCATGCTTGACAGTTTTTCTAAGATTTCTATCTAAGAGTGCATCACAAGGTCTGCGCCAAACTCTTTGTCGTTTTTTAAAGCCAAATATTTGAAATTTACTCTCATCAGATCATAACACTGAGTTCCAAAATGCCTCATCCTTGTTAATATGCAGTTTTGCAAATGCTAAGCGTTTTTTTTTGTTTATACCACTAATGAGGGGTTTACTTTTTTGAAGACGGTTTATTAAACCACTTGAATTAAGTCTTCTCTGTACAGTTCGACTGGAAACATTTAATTTAAGATTCTCAACAATCTGTCTTGAGGTTATTGTTGAATTTTGTTTCGCTATTCGCGCAATTAGCATATCAGTTCTTGTTGAAGTCTTAAGGGGGCGACCAAATCTTTTCTGATTTTCAACAGAATCAGTTGTTTCAAATTTTATACACATCTTTCTAACACCACTTATCGATATTTGATATTTTTCTGCACATTGCTTGTAGGTTAGGCCCTTTTTTCGATCACAAATGACCCGAGATCGGATGTCCAATGAATAATTTTGATGATGAACCATTATTATTGTTAGTTTTACTTTTTCTAAAAATAAATTCCAAAAAAATAAAGTTTAAAATGCTTATTTTTAATAAATTTAACAAAATCTCTTTAATAATAATCATTTTTAATAAATAGCTATTGACAAAACATTATATTTCATAATAAAAACTCAAATGTTTCTTACTTTCGTCACATTTATTTTTGAAAAAAAAATTGTGAGATAGCTAATTTTGTTTAATAGATTAACTTTTGCAAGGAATTATAAAAAGTTATAAATGTATTTATTTTTCTTAGGAATCAAATTTAAAAAAAAACATAAAATTATTGCAGTTATGTAGATCTTGACGTAAATAATTTTGTTTGTATTGTTAGAGTATCAATTTTATCAACAATGTTACTTAATTTTGTCCGTGACTGTGTATATATATATATATATATATATATATATATATATATATATATATATATATATATATATATATATATATATATATATATATATATATATATATATATATATATATATATATATATACACACATACAGTATCGGACAAAACCAGTGCAACCAAATGATGCTAATTTAGTTTCTTTGTATAAAAGTGCTGTATTTTTTCAATTTAGAGAAATAACTATGCAACTGTTTAGAGACAACATTCTTCAAATTTTATTTATCACAAAGTTCATTATTTGTACACGAAAATTAATAAATTAATCAAAAGTATTAAAAAAAGTTGATTTCCTTCTGGACAAAACAAGTGCAACTTCACAAAATGTTGACCAAGCTGTATTCATATCAATATTTTGTGGTGAATCCTTTGTTGTCGATCACAGCCTTGTATCTTTAAGGCATAGATTCGATCAGGTGATCAATGAAACTTTGTGGAATTGCTGCCTAGGCCTTTTGGATTTGTTCAAACAGTTGATCCTTATTACGAACACATTCATGATTAACTCTGCGGTTGACAATCTCCCACAGGTTTTCAATAGGGTTGAGATCCAGAGATTGAGGCGGCCAATCCATCACCAATAGATGGCTGTCTTGAAACCACTGCTTGACTACTTTTGCAGTGTGTTTGGGATCGTTGTCTTGCTGAAAAACCCATTTTATTGGTATATTCCATTCAGCATGAGGTAACATAACATCATTCAGGATATTTTTATACATGAAACGGTCCATTATTCCATAGATTCGATGTATTGGACCTAGACCATTAGCAGAAAAACACCCCCAGACCATTACATTACCTCCACCATGCTTCACAGTATATATATGTATGCTGCAAAATGGCACTTGTCAACGAAATTCTGCCTGTGTGCTGAATTTCCAGACTCCTATTCTGTTTACTGTGGTAGTATAGTTCGTTTCATTTTTAAGACATAAAATTAGGAGCACTTTTTAGCATTGTTCGATGTTGGTTGCAAATGTTTTGTCCAATACTGTATATACACATATATACATGTATATATATATACATGTATATATATATATATATATATATATATATATATATATATATATATATATATATATATATATATATATATATATAAAATATATATATATATATATATATATATATATATATATATATATATATATATATATATATATATATATATATATATATATATATATATATATATATATATATAAACAAGAAGATTTGTATCTCAACCAGATACAATAATAAACAACAATTTTTTTATGAAAAAACTAAAGGAACTTGTATTATGGATACAAAAATTCTAGCATGACACAAAAAAGTCGAAGAATATCTTTTTAATACAGATATCAGTTTTGTAAATACTATTAAAACTATACCTCGTAAAACACTCCATATATTTACTAGATTTTCTAAGCTTATCTTTTCCCCATAAACTTTTCGATTTAATTTGGACTGTAACTGATTCGAAAATAACCTGATAAATATTTTAACAATAAACTGAAATATATAAAGATTTTTATTTTAATATATGTAATAAATTAAAATATTATTTAATAAATGAATGCTTAAAATTATGAAAGGTAAAAGCATTAAATTTGAAAACAAAATGCTAAACAAGGTTTAGCATTACACTTACTTTAGCACACAAACAAACTTAAACACCTACAGCGAAGCTCCCGACTTTATCAAATTGTCATGTTAAAAGTAAATCTATAACAAATAACGGTCAAAAAGAATTGCTTTTGGTCCCTTTTAATCATATTTCTAATAATTAATAAAAACATAATCATTTACCTTTTCATGATCAAAAAAACATGTTCTCTTGGCTTTCCACCACCAATCTTTTTTAAACTATCAAGCTGAAATAAGTGTAATAAAAACTAGTGTAACTTAAATTTCTTTACAACATATTGAGTCTAACACAAGCTAGTTATTTTAGTTCATTTACAAATACTTTTTATTTAGATTCTAAACTTATAAACCAAATTTAAACAAACTTATTAAAAATTAAGATAATTAGATTATACCAAATTAGTATACTCAGTTTTATCTTTTAGTTTATTATCCAGTGTAACCACTTCGTCCACCAATTCTAGCAACTTCACCCCAGTAGCCTGAAACTTAATTTCTATAACTTCTTTTAAAAGAACTTTTATTTCTGCAAGCTCCTTGAGAATAACATTTTGCATCTCTACAAACAAGAATAAAAAGATTGATTAACATATTTAGCTCATAAAACCAAATAGCAAAACAATGAAATAAGAACTTTAAAATTCAAATTATGCTTGAGTAACTTAAACTAAAATTTCTAAAATACATGTAAGTTTTTTTATTACTCCATTGCAGAAGTTGCCATAATATTTTGGAAAACCTACTTTTTAAATCAGCTAAAACTTTATCCTGTAAAGGGCTATGATATTAAAGAATTTTGCTAAACTACTAAAGATAAAATGCTACACACATGATTTATCGGATCACAATATTATAAATAATCCATTTCTATTCTTTTATACCTATCTTTTACAATTATTTTAATACAAAAACAAATTAATAAAAAAGACCTCCACATTAACATTCAGTGGTGTAAAAACCAAAATTACTCACATTAAAACTTAAAACTCTTTGACAATGTGAACTTTGCTTGGTGTTCATCAATAAAATGTGAAGAAAAATTATCTTCTTCAATCTTTGAATCTGATAACAACTCTATTCAAAAGAAATAATTATAATTAGAACTATAAATAATCCCTCAACCATACCTGTTACTTAATTTAATCTTTCAACCAATTTTGTACTCTTTCAATTTCTGAATTCAAACAACTTCAGCATGCTTTCAATCAATTTTCAATTTTCATATCAAGTTGATTAAAGGATTATTTAATACAATAGAATGTTGTCAATGATATAAATATATGTAACCAATTTAACAACATTACAGATAATAGGACACCCAAATAGTTAAAATAAAAGGAAAATCTTAGTAATACATAAAAAAAGACTAATAGCTAGATAGATATTATTCAGATCAAATTAAACAAGAATCTATTTCAGTTTATAAATCGTTAAGAAAAAATTATGATATTTATGTTATACTTTTAGCATTGGGCTTATTCATAATAGGTGGCGGAGGTTCTGGCAATGAAGAACGGCATGATTTGTTATTCTTATTTTTAATGCTTTCTTTAACATATATCTCATCTGATGTAGAAAGTTGTATTCTTCACAACATGAAAATGAATCTAATTATAAAACATTTTGCTACAAAAAAGTAATTAAGTTACCTTTAAAAAAAAAAACAAAACAAGTTAGATACTGACTATCTGTTATCTTACACTTTATCAATGGAAATTTGTGCCATTCTTTTGTTGACAAAAGGTTGTTTTTCAGTGCATGATTATAGTTTTTTTTTTGGACAATAAATTTGTTGGTATTCTTTGTCAATCCACTTGTTTAGTGCATAATTACTTGGTTAGAAAAACATGCAGAAAAACTTTCCTTTAAAGTTGGGTTATGCTTATACTCATTAGGCTTTTGGTCATAAGAGTATTCATTGTACAAAATCGATGACTTATGATGGTCAAAATATTCTTTTTATTTTAGATTCGCAAGATAAGAAATCATTTCTTTTAGAAGTTTCAACATTCGATTTTTTTTCTATATGTACTGATGAAAATTTTAGTATTTTTTAATGTTCTTTTTGGACACGTTTACTGCGTCTCTTTTCGTATCCCCTTTTTGTAAAAGACATAAATGAATCTTGGTTTCTTGATAAAAACGATAAGTGCACAACCAATAAAACAATCTTTTATGTTATTGAAAAACACTCATATTATGAGTGTTTTTCAATAACACAAAAGATTGTTTTATTGGTTGTGCACTTATCGTTTTTATCGAGAAACCAAGATTCATATATGAGTCATATATATATATATATATATATATATATATATATATATATATATATATATATATATATATATATATATATATATATATATATATATATAATACATATATATATATATATATATATATATATATATATATATATATATATATATATATATATAAACAAAAGTTAGTCGTTGTTCTCAATTATAATTATATCTTAAACAATGTTAGTTTCTAAATGAAATAACAATAAGTTTAAACAACAACAATATAAAACAATATAAAAACAAGAAATGAATAATGTCACTATTTCTACATCCCCTTCCATGTTTTTAAGTGTCAATGAATATAAACATAATTTCTGGGTTCATTTCTTAAAGTCATTTAATGTCAAAGATTTCCCGGTTTCTGGTTGGTAGAATTTTTTGGGGATACGTAGCCTGGATGAACGTTTCAATGGTTGATCTCCTACGATTTCAGTATTTAATAAAGGTGGCATCGCTAGATGCGGCGAGCTTGTTGATAAAGATGCTGGCATCAACGGTAAGGGTACTGAAGTTGTTGGTAGAGGTAGTGGTGGTACTGCTGGTGCTAATGTAGAAGACGGTAGCAATACTGTAGATGGTGCTAGTTCCGGTTGGGATGGTATGACTTTGTTGCTACTTTCTGGGACATACTCTGTAAATGGTGTTGGCAAATCGGCAGAGTTATAGTGACTAGAGCTTGTTCTTGGTGGTGTAGTCAATGCAACTTTGGTTTCGTATGACTTTAGTGGGTTGAGGAATTTGCGCAAATATTTTCTATTTCTTAATGTTAGTCGACCTGTTCCTTCAACCTTAATGATGTATTGGTCATTTTCCTTACATTCAACAACTTTTCCACTACGATCCCATTTTTTAGGGTGGTTCCCTACTTGATTTTGTATGAAGACGCTGTCTCCTTCATGTAGTGGTGTGAGAAAACGTGTGTGTTCTTGAAGTGATTCAAGGGTCTTTGCATATCTTGTTCGTAATGCTTCTTCTTTTGCAGACCATGCATGTCTCCACGTTTTCAAGAATTGGTCGTTATTAAACATAGGTATTCTGGATTTTATCCTGGGCATGGCGTCGTGAATGGGATGGCCAAATAATACTTGAGCGGGGGATAACTGACAAGTAGGGTCTGGTGTGTTTCTTATTGTAAGCATTGCCCTTACAAAAGCGTTATTATTGAGATCACCATTTGGTCCCACATTATTTTCGAGGAGGCGTTTTGTTGACTTAACTGCAAGCTCAGCTCTTCCATTAGATTGTGGGTGGTGGGCTGATGAAATGCGATGAGTTATGCCCCATTGTTGTAGAAATTCTTTTGTTTCTCCAGAGATGAATTGAGGGCCACCGTCGGTTGAAATTTCTTCTGGGACTCCAAATGTTGTAAATAGTTTACGTAAGCATGTGATAAGACCTTTTGCACTCATTTCTGATGTTCCTGATTTTATTCTGTAGGCTTCGGTCCATCCAGAAAGTCTATCTCCAATGACCAGATAATCCCAGCCACGGAATTCAAAATAGTCAGCAAATATGCATTCAAATGGTGTCACAGGGATGTGAGGTCGGATGGGTGGTAGTCGTGCATTAGAAGGTGCATTTCGATTACAGCTGCAACAGTTATCGCGCTTACTTTGTATGCTGTGAGTGATACCTGGCCAGAAAACAGTGGCTTGAGCTCTGGCTGTCATTCCCGATACTCCTTGGTGGGCTGAGTGTAGTACGTCCAATATCTCTTTCCGTAGAGTAGGTGGGATTACAATTCTGTCATTGTATATTATAACCCCGTCGGACACCATCAAGTCATTGCGGTATTTCCAGAACGGTAAAAGATTTGGTATGAAGTTGTTCTTATTTTTTGGGAACCCGTTTTCTATTGCTAACATTAATGCTTTAAAATCGGTATCCTTTTCTGTCTCTGCTTTGACACTATCCCATGTTACTGCAATCATTTTATCTATGTCGTTTCGTATCGAGGCTATTATTAGTGATTCTGTGTTGTCAAAATCAGTATTTTGATTGCAAGTGGCTGAATTATCAGATTCCTTTGTGTTCTCTGCAGGGTAACGAGAAGTAGCATCTGCTGCCAGGTTTGTTTTTCCTGGTTGATGTTGGATGGTAAATTTCCATGGCAAAGTTCTCTGTTTTAGTCGGAAAAGTCGTGTGTTAGCAATTTCATCTAAGGTCCTATCTCCTAATAATTTGACAAGTGGTTTATGATCAGTTACTACCATAAGGTTATCACAACCTTGTGTGAAATATTTAGTCTGCTCCAGGCTCCATGCCGCTGCTAGCATTTCGCCCTCAACTGGTGCATATCGTACTGGTGCATATCGACGGAAAAAAACACATACTGAAACTTTTTAGTCCCTGTGTAATAAGAAACTAACATAAACAAAAGTTAGTCGTTGTTCTCAATTATAATTATATCTTAAACAATGTTAGTTTCTAAATGAAATAACAATAAGTTTAAACAACAACAATATAAAACAATATAAAAACAAGAAATGAATAATGTCACTATTTCTACAATATATTTATATATAAATATATATATATATATATATATATATATATTTTTTTTTTTTTAATTAAATTATCTTTTATTCTAGAAATAAAAATATCAACCTGAAAATATTAATTTTGTAATATTTCTGCAAAATAAATTTCAAATCACAAGGATTTTAGCAAACATGCTAAGCATCAAATCATCGAAATATTTTGTGAACTATAATAGCATGTTGTTTTATTATTTAAAATTTATCAAAAGAAATAATCATTAATGTTTTCCATAGGTTAAAATCTTCATGCTTTTTTCGTAGTAAGTTTAAGCATGGTTTTTAAATGGCGGTCATTTATAATTGTCGCTCCGTAAAATTAGTTGATATTTTTTTCTTGTTTTATAACAAATCTACACCTTTTCAAGATGTAAATGAGAACATGAAAGTTGTAATTAAGAAGTCGTAATATGTAATTAAGAAACACAACATGTAATTGAGAAAACGTTATATGTAATTGAGAAACACAACATGTAAATAAGAAGTCGTAACATGTAATTAAGAAACACAACATGTAATTGAGAAAACGTAAAATATAATTGAGAAATCATAATATGTAATTGAGAAATCGTAACTTGTAATTGAGAACACATAAATTAAAATAGCAAGTTCAAAGTCTAAAATAGCAAATTCACAGTCACAGCGCGTGGTCATCCTTCCCCGGACAAATCCCGCCATGGCCCTCGGATTACATACCGCATATTTATTGTTTTTAGTGTTAATTACGTTAAATTCATTTGCCCAAAAATTATAAATTTTTCCCTTAAATGTTTTTAGTGTTTATTATGTTAAATTCATTTGCCCAAAAATTATAAATTTTTCCCTAAATTTTTCCCTAAAAAATTAAATTTACGCTACAAATCTTGCGTCATTTTTAAGTGCGTCATTTTATACGCTCCATTTTTTTAGGCGCCATTTTTTTTAAGCGCCATTTCACACTTACTTCTTTAAAGCGATATCTAAATTAAAATTTTCGTGTTCTCAATAGACCTTTTCATAAATATCTGCGACGGAGAAAGGAGATTCTTCAAAGCGAGGCAGTGTTTGTAACAATCAAAACAAACTTTGCGTTTACATATAATTTAGTAGGGTTTAAACTTTAAATTATTATATATATATATAATATATATTATATATATATATATATATATATATATATATATATATATATATAATATATATATATATATATATATATATATATATATATATATATATATATATATATATATATATATATATATATATATATATATATATATATATATATATATATATATATATATATATATATATATATATATATATATATATATATATATATATATATATATATATATATATATATATATATATATATATATTAGAAACTGATTAAAAACTATTTTAAAATTTAAAAAAAAATTACATAACTGCCTACTTAGAAAAGGAAAGTATCCAGAAATAGAGGGCTAACCTAAGTGTACCTTTTAAGGCTAAAACTTACTGTGTGTATATATATATATGTATATATATATATATACATATATATATATATATATATATATATATATATATATATATATATATATAAATATATATATATATAAATATATATATATATATAAATATATATATATATATATATATATATATATATATATATATATATATATATATATATATATATATATATATATATATATATATATATATATATATATATATATATATGCCTAAGTTTAGCTCTCCATTTCTGGATTCTTTTCTTTTTCTTAATTGGCAGTTATGTAATTTTTTTTAATAGATTTTTTGTTTTTTTGTTTTAATTTTTACTAAATAAAAATTAATTTGAATATTTAAAACTTTCAACATCAGGAGTTATTTCTTGATTAACAAATTATTATTTTTTTTAATTAAATTTTTTATTTATTGCATTTTTTTGTATTTTTGTCTTTTTCTCTTTGTTTTTTAAATTCTTCACAAAATAGCTCCAAAGATACAGGTAGAATGCAACACCTTTATGTTTCTTCTCTTTACTTTACATATCAGCACTATTTTACTTGCTAAAATAATTTGCTAAAATTTATACAATGATCTGACAAATCATTTTTTTTTATACATATATTTAGTATATATACTATTTTCACCATGTACCAACTATAATATTTGGCCTTTATAATATTTGAATTTTATAAAAATCTATATTATTCTCTCCACAAGGATTCTTTAGTTTGCAATTTGTTGACTTAAAACTGTTTTGTTCAATAGTAAGTTTTTCTCTACCCTTAACCAAATAATGGTAAAACAATATTAACACTAAGTGGTCTATAGTATTCTGCTATTGTAAAGC